CCCCGCCAGCTCCAATGGAAAAGGCTCCGGCGCGCCAAACCACGGCTCTCGAAAAACCCTACTCTGGGAACCTGCCCTGAATAAGCTGTCACGATGCAGCCAACCTTTCTGTGCAAATAGATTTAATGCAGCAGCCGATGTAATAGCAGACATTTAGGATTAATGTAAGTATCGAGCAGAAGGAAACGGGTTGAATAAGTCTAGGCCTTGGAAGGTGCCGTGAACATATAGCTCTGAAATATAGATTTGTGGGCGTTCATGTTTGCTGAATGAAGGAGGCTCAGCTACAGGGGGGTCCCGGATATCAATCTACGGAAAACCACCAATGCCAGCAGCGTAAGCAGGTTTTTCCTGACGGTGGGTGATCAGCGCTGTTTTTCTTCTTAATTAATGGCTCTTATTGCCTGTGGTGAGCATGTCGATAAGCAATAAAAGTTAAAAAAACAGGAATAGAAGTAGAGAGCCAAGCACGTAAAGCCCTAGCAACCCCAGCCTCAGCCCTCTCACTCCCTTCTCCACTTTTTAACACTTTGTTGTAGATACTTCTAGATGTGTGTGTGGTTTTTTTTTCCCCATCCACTGGGTATTGCTTTTATTTTATTTATTTTTAAATATATTTTTATTGATTTCAGAGAGGAAGGGAGAGGGAGAGAGAGATAGAAACATCAATGATGAGAGAATCATTGATTGGCTGCTTCCTGCACGCCCTCCTACTGGGGATTGAGCTCGCAGCCCAGGCATGTGCTCTTAACCGGAATCGAACCCAAGACCCTTCAGTCCGCAGGCTGATGCTCTATCCACTGAGCAACACTGGCCAGGGCCACTGGGCATTGCTTGTAAAACTTACATGTGCAGCCCCGGCCAGTGGTGTAGTGCACCAGGAGGCTGCAGGTTCTATTCCTGGTCAGGGCACATGCCCGGGTTGTGGGCTTGATCCCCAGTAGGGGGGGTGCAGGAGGGAGCCTATTGATGTTTCTCTCTCTCTCCCCCCCTTCCTCTCTCTAACAAAATCAAAATAAAAACATTTTAAAAAACTTCCATGTACAATCAGAAAAGTCATGGGGTAAAGGGAGAAAACAGAACAAAAGACTTTAAAGTGAATTTTGACGTCATAGAAAACGAGAAACATAGAATGTCTTTACAAAGCGAGTAGCTCTGTAGCTCTGTGTAAGGACGAGGACGCAGGGCTCAGGGATGCTGGGGGGCCTGCCAAGCTCACAGCGTGTGTGACTGGCTCCTGACACCCAGTCCCGCTCTGTCCCCGCATCCTCAGGCTCCTGGACGAGGCAGGAGGCTGGGCTGGGGGAGCCTGGAGGATGCTCTGGGCTGGGGGGTGGGCCCGGTGAGGAGTCTTCTGGCTGCTTGTTCTGGGGACCTGGGAAGAGGGGACCAAAGTCCCCATTTATGGCCTTGGGGGAGTTAATGTGTAATATTCCAGGAGATAAGCTGGACCGGGAGGTGAGACCCTGAGCCCAGGCCTCCAGGCACTGCGAGCGGCCTTTGGGAGCCGCTGCCGTGTCGGTGAGGATGCTGGCTTCTCCGCCATCCACACCTTCACCTGAATGGGGATGGGGAGGGGGTTGCGAGGGAAAAGTCTCACTGTCTCTCTCCAGGCCTCAGTTGCCCCGTCCGGATAGTGAGGAAATTGGGCAGATGGTCTCCCTGCTTCCTCCACCACCGCGCTCAGCCTGTCTCTTCCCCTCTCCAGCCTTAGTTTGCTCATCAGTAATACATTTCTTTTAAAAATATATTTTTATTGATTTCAGAGCAGAAGGGAGAGGGGGAGAGAGATAGAAACATCAATGATGAGAGAGAATCATTGATTGGCTGCCCCTACGGGGGACCAAGCCTGCAACCCAGGCATGTACCCTTGGCCGGAATCAAACCTGGGACCCTTCAGTTAGCAGGCCAATGCTCTATCCACTGAGCCAAACCAGCTAGAGCCAGTAATACATTTTTTCATTTTCTTTTTTTAAATTTTATTTATTGATTTGAGGGGGGGGTGGTGAAGGGAAAAGAGAGAGAGAGAGATTTGTTGTTCCACTTATTTATCCATTTATGCATTCATTGGTTGCTCCTTGTTTGTGCCCTGACAGGGGACCGAACCTGCAACCTTGGCGTACCAGGACGATGCTCTAACCAACTGAGCTACCCGGCTAGGGCTGCTCATCAGTCATATTAATAGTAGTAACAATAATAACTGCTCACATCTATTGAGCTTTATGAAGATGAAGAAACGGAGGCTCGGAGATTACATTGTCCAAGGTTATAATCTGTCAATCGCAGGGGGTTGCATGGAGGAACACTCTGAGGTTCCTGATCCTTTGATTTCAAGCCTGGCGGTGCCTTAGCTTGCTGTGTGGCCTTGGATGAGTCACTGCCCCTCTCTGAGCTGCAGAACCCTGTGTTTGGGGACTTGGATCACAGACCACCCCTTCTGAGCACTGGGTGGTGTGTCAGTTTCCGTGTCGGCCATAACAAATGTCTTCTTTTACAGTTTTGGAGGCCGGAGGTCTGACGTGGAGGTGTGGGCAGGGCCGCACTCACCCTGAGGTCTCTAGAGGGGGACCTGTTCTGATCTCTTCCAGCTTCTGGTGGGGGCGTCCTTGGCTTGTGGCTAAGCTCTCAGTCTCTGCCTCCGTCTTCACGTGGCTTTCTCCTCTGCCTGTGTTTCTGGCTCCAAATTTCCCTCCTTTTTTAAGGTCACCAGTCCTATTGGATTTAGGGCCCACCCTACCCAATCGCACTTGATCTTAACCTGCTTACATCAGCAAAGACCCAATTTCCAAATAGGCTCCATTCACAGGGCCCACCTGGACCTGATTTTTGGGAAACCCATTCAAGCCAGTACAGGTGGGATGAGAGTGTGGTGTGATGGAGGTCCAGGGCGGGAGGGATGCTCTTTGCCTCTCAGGGAGGACCTTTGGGCCCAGACACTTTCCCGACTTTCTTCTTTTCCTGGTCATCTCACCCATCCCCTCTCTTTCCTCCCTCTCCAAAGACCATCTAGGCCAAGTCTCTTATATTATAGAATAGAGGCCCGGTGCACAAAATTCGTGCGTGGAGGGAGGGTCCCCTCAGCCCAGCCTGCATCCTCTCCAATCCAGGACCCCTTGGGGGATGTCTGACTGCCAGCAGTTAGACATCCCTCTCACAATCCTGGACCACTGGTTCCTAATCGCTCACCTGCCTGCCTGGTTGCCCCTAACTGCCCCCCCACCGCCCGCTGGCCTGGTTGCCCCACGCAGCCTGCTGTTCAGTCGTTTGGTCATCCCTCACTAACCCCCCTGCCAGCCTGGTTGTAGGCAGCCATCTTGTGAGGGCGTGAGGGTTAATTTGCATATTACCCTTTTATTATGTGGGATGGGGCAACCGAGGACCAGAAAGGGGCACAGCTGGCCTCAGGTCACTCAGCCAGTTAGGGACAAAGTGGGCACTAGACCTGGACCACCCACACCCCACCCCAGCTTTGCCTCCCAGTCTCTCTCCAGGCCTCAGACTTTGTTGAGGGGAGACAGGGATGCTGGGCCTATACAATCCCACAGCATCCCTACTGTGCAGCTGCACCCCCTGAGCCTGGCTCACAGGAAGTAACCATAATGAAGGTTGCCCCTCAGTTTGCTGAGTCTGTGCGTGCGGCTTCACGCACACGATCTCGAATTCTCCCAACCAGCTTGGAGGTGGATGCGCTGCCCAGCCCCTGTGGGCCAGGTGCCTCTACTGAAAGCTAAACCCCAGGACCCACCCTCTTTACCCAGCTGAGGGGCAGGAGGCCAGCCTTTCGCCATGTTAAACCAGAGGCAGCCACCAGGGGGCGCCAAGTGGCTGCGTTCGCATCCTCTCCATTAGAAGCAGATGTTTATCCACCTGGAGGGTTACGGCTCAGCACGAGGCTCCTGTGTGTGTAGAACGTCAGCATTTCTTGGAACTGACCACCATCACCTTTTGGTTGGGGAGGGGACAGGCAGGTGCACGGGAAAGGAGCCGAGAGAAAACGCACCCGTCTCCTACTTGGGTCCCTCCAGGTTGCAGGAAAGTGGGATACCGCTGGCCTGAGACCTCCCACCCCCAGGGACTCCGAAGGTGTAACCCAGGCTTCTGGAGTGACTGCCCCCAGGAGTCACACAACCCTGATCGCATACTTCTAGGGACAGGGAGCTCCCCGCCTTGGTTGACAACTGTTTATGGTCAAACTTGATAGGTCTTCAGGAGCAAGGACAATTCTCTCCCCCACGATGGACACTCAGCTGCTGACACCGTCCCTGCCAGGTACCCGTCCGTAGAGAACCGCAGTCCTGTGCTTCTAGTGCAACGTGACACCCCGCTGCCCAGTCGGACCGAGGTGTCACCTCCCTCGTTTTAAGGCACAGACCTCAATAAACAACTTTCTTCGGTGATTCTTCCAGCTTGTGGTTTACTAAGATCCTGCAACGCAAGCTGTGTTACCCAGGACTGGCCCCTAATCCTCACCCGTCTCCCCCGTCTCCCTCCTCCCCCCCCCCCCACAGCTTTATGATTAATCTGGGCCAGGGGACAGAGAAGCTGGACCTGCATTTCAACCCACCATTGTCTGCAACTCACTGGAGGGTAGCAACTGGGGGCAGGAGCAATGGGAAGATCACTTGTGCTTCAGCCCAGAGTCAGAGGTCAAGGTGAGGTCCAAGGGGAAAGGGGCCTGAGGACAATGCCAGAGGGAGAGCCCAGATGGTAGGGAGCCCTGGGCTAGACCGTGCTTGAGCCACCGGGCCCTGGCTTGGCCCATTCCCAGGGTGCCTCCTGCCTCCCTGACACCTGTCCTCCCCCTGCAGTTCACCGTGACCTTCGAGAGTGACAGATTCAAGGTGAAGCTGCCAGACAGGCACCAGATGACCTTTCCCAACAGGCTGGGCCACAGCCACCTGAGCTCCCCGAGTGCTGGGTGGGTTCAACATCTCCTCCTCCAAGCTTGACTGAGTGGGCGGCGCTCACGGGAACGACAGAGCCCTCGCACCGACTTCCTATCCTGAGCTCCTTCCCAGTCACACGGGCCCAGCAGCCCCTGGGTCCTGGCTCCCCGCCTGTACTCCCTGCCCCTCTGACCCCTCTCCTCCCCCAAGGCTAAGGCCAATTTAAGAATCCACCTTTGTCCAGCTGGTGTGGCTCAGTGGTATGAACCAGGCGGTCACTGGTTCAGGGCACATGCCCAGTTGCAGGCTCAATCCCCGGTAGGGGGTGTGCAAGAGGCAACCGATTGGATGTTTCTCTCCCTCTCCCTTTCTCTCTCTAAAAAAAAAAATCAAAAAAAAGAAAGAAAAAAAGAATCCACCTTTATCCAGTCTTTCTGTGGCAGAAACTGGTTAGTGTTCCCCATGCATTTCCATGATACAGAGGAGGAAACTGAGGCACAGGGCATAGGACTGCCACGCCGGAGTTGGGACACCCTTCCAAACACCTCTGAGCACCCACTCCTGCCTGCCCGCCCCCTGTTATCACCAGGGCAAGTGCCAAGCTGCCCCGTGGGATTAGAGGCAGGGACTGATCCAGGCACCTGGGCCAGGGGCTGTTCCCGGAACTGCAGATAAGGGCTCCCACCTGGGCCTCTTATCTCAGGAACATTCCTTCCAGCCTGGTTACTCATTACCCTCTCGGCCCCTGCGTGCGCTGGGGGCCCTAGGGGGTCCTTGGCTTCCAAACCCAGTGCTGAGGGCATGGAAGCAGGTGGAGCTGACACCGTACTCCCAGGTCCCCAAACATCGCGCAGGACACCGCGTCTCAAAAAGCCTTTTTAATCGGGACCCGGAGGCAGGTCTGGGGTGCACAAGAAGGTGGGGTCACACCTGATTTTACCTCGAGGCTTCTGGGACAAGGGGGGTTTGGGGTGGGCACGTTGGGGAAGCTCCAGGATGAGCTGGGCAGGCGGCCCCTTTGGGAGGAGACAGAGGCCCTGTGTGGTATGCTCCCTACCCCCCACCAGCAAGGACAGCTTCCCCACACAAAGGCGGCTCTGTGAGGCCGGCCCTCCAGCCGGTGGGGGCGGGGCCGGAGGCAGGGCCACGGGGTCCAGAGCGGCAGTGGGGGGAAGCAGGTCAGCCCGGCAGGGTCCTCGGGAACACCCAGGTCCCAGGACTGGCCTCCCTCCCATGTCTGTCCAGCAGAGGCGTGGAGGGTTGGGGGGCAGTGTGGGTTCTCCATCCATCGTCAGCAGGACCCAGGTGACAGGTAGGGCGAGCTCTGCACCTGGGCTCTTCAGGGCAGTGAGTGGCCGGAGGCTGGGCGGGGTCCCGAGCCCACGCTCAGCGGCTCACACCTTGACCTCATCGTCCTCCTCAGCATCGGCGAACTCGAAGGTGTTGGCTTGCACCGTGCTGGGCACAGGGGCCCGACTGCCTGCCTGGGGTGCCCCCCACTCTTCATCCAGGCTCTCCCAAGAGGCCCGCCCCTGGGGCAGCACCTTCACCAGCTCCTGCCGCGCATCCATCTCAGTGTAGTGGCGGCTGCCCCGGCTGCCACTCCAGCCGGCTCCCCAGTGCCTGCCAGGGGCCATGTCAGCAGGTGCACGGGGACTCTCCCCCACGGGGCTGGCCCTCGCCTCCGCCACTGGGCCAAACCCAGCAGTTACCCCATTGGGGCAGCGTCCACGGGGTGGAGGGCTTGCGGCAGGGGCTGGGGGGCTTGAGGCAGGGGCTGGGGGG